TATATGTTTTGTGGTTGGGGGAACTAAAGAAAATTCACCTGCTTGCTTTCCTACCCCAGCCCTTGATTGCCGACCCCTTCTCCACTTGACATTTTATTCTTCAATCTTTTCAAAATCTGAAATTATTTTTGACAATATATACGTCCTTAAGCATATACTCTTCTCCCTAAATGTTAAGAAAACATTCATGAAAAAGTTTTCGTTGTTCTTATTTTAATATAAGTTACTTTCTTAAATCTGCTCCCGTCACTACCTGATCCATGTATACTCTTACTAAACTTAATAGTAAAATCTTTTGTGAAGAAGATACTATACTTTTCTGTTTATGATTTAAAAAAAATTATATATTGTTGACAAACAGATATTGTTCATTGCAGGGTACAAGGTGAAAGCTCAAATTCTGCCTCTGATTCGACAACAGAAAAGTCATGAGATTTTTGTCACTGCTCGTCATGTTGTCACTGCTCGTCATGTTGTCACCACATAAAAGTATAGTGGCAGTATTTCGAAGTTTTGTAGACAAATGGCTCATTTGGCTAAGTGTCGTTGCTAGAAGAAAGAGTGGCAATTGGAAGATGTGTCTGGCAAAATGCATGGAATTATTTTGACAACAAAGCTAGCCACTTTTCGTGTGAAGGCTTCACCATATAAAAAGGTTACAATTTTCACTTCAGCGGACAACCCCCGAGAGTTTTCTTCCATCTATTTTCTCCTCACGCCTAGCTTTCTCTTCGTCTCCTATTTCCTTTATAACTTGTCTTTTCTTTATTTTCATTTTCCAAACTTGCTGGATTTATAATTTTTTTAGCTGATCTCTGTATCCTCTAAAAATAGAGCTAGACTTATTTAATTTTGGGAAGATATTTCACACTATTGAATAGTTTCTTAGGATAGTGTCTAACACGACTTAAACTATTTTTAGAATAGTACCCAACACGAATCAAGCCATTTATATATTCACTTATAAATAATATTGCAGTGTTATTTTTATTTCCCCGTGTTTATTTCCTACAATCTAAGAAACGAACGCAAATAATACTACTACACAAATTTTTGACGATGCTACCCATTTTTATGTTATCCCCATTGCTCCTATTCCAGTTGTCCTACTAGATATTCATGGTGCTCCTATTGAACCTGTTAGCGGAAACGTAAACGTAAAAGAAAGAACACAAAATTAAATGTGATTCAGATCAAAATAATCCTACGTCCACCAGAGAACAGTTGCCTTTTTAATATTAACAAAGGAAAGGGAGAGTTCCCAATTACACTTAAGAGAATTTCTCTCTTAACTCTCTACTCACTACAATGTGTTGTATTATTTTTGGGATGATTTCTACAAATGAAGGAGTGCATCTATTTATAGAGGTAAAGACCTCCTCTTGATGTCATTGGTGACATCAAACTACCTCCTCTTGATGTCATGGGTGACATCAAAGGAGGAAGCTTCCTCCTAGCATCCACACCAACTCTTTCCACCAACTCTTCCAATTGGCATGCCATTGTTGACTAAACATAAACCAACATTTTCAATATGCCATTGTTAACTAAACATAAACCAACATTTTCAATCTCCACCTTGGTTTGCGTTTCGAGCGTGTGAACAACTCTGGCCAAAACTTCTAAGCTTACTGGGCAACCCCGTTGTAAGAAACAAGAAGAATCAAACCATTGTTGAACATACCACCTCCACCTAACAACTGTTCTCTTCGGAGTTGCATCAGTTGATGCACACCCCCGCCAAGTCCTTGCAGTGTGCAAACTTAGCGAGTGAGACTATCTTGGTCAACATATCTGCAGCATTATCGTTTGTGATAACCTTCACGACCTTGATAGTTCCCTCTTCAACAACATCTCGAATAAAATAAAATCTGACATCAATGTGTTTAGTGCGCTCATGAAATCTCTGATTTTTCATTAGATGAATAGCACTCTGACTATCACATCTAAGAGTTGATTCCAGCTGAACCAAACTCAATTCCGCTACTAAACCTTTCAACCAGATAGCTTCCTTCACCGCCTCCGCTGCTGCCATGTATTCTGCTTCTGTCGTAGACAAAGCGGCAATCGACTGCAGAGTCGACTTCCAACTAACGGCACTGCCAACGAGGGTAAAGATGTATCCAGTTGTGGACCTTCTTCTGTCAAGATCTCCTGCATAGTCAGAATCTACATAACCGAGAATTGAAATACCTCCACCACTTTTTCGAAAGGTCAGACCAACACCAGAAGCTCCTTTGAGATATCTCAATATCCACTTGACAGTTTCCCAATGCCTCTTTTCTGGGCTGGACATGTATCTACTTACCACACTTACAGATTGAGCAATATCTGGACGTGTGCATACCATAACATACATAATGCTACCAACTGCACTGGCATAAGAAATCTTTGACATATGCTCCACCTCATCCTGGAACTGAGGCATTTGTAACTCTGAAAGTTTAAAATGAGGAGCTAATGGTGTACTTACAGGCTT